ACATGGGGTAGCCCAGTTTGCCTTTGAAAAGTGCTCAGGACATTATTCGAATCACTCTTTTCAGTGTTTCATCCTGGGGATCCAAAGTCAGCAGCTGCTGTAGTCTTCTTCTTAGTGCTGACACTCTCCAGCTCTTCCCACTCTCCTGATAATGTTTCCCAGTCTGTCATTCAGACAGTCGTCATTTTTAAGGGATGCGTTTTCAACCTCTCTGTACTCACGCTTTTCTCCCACGTAACCCTGTGAGTTTCATTCTTCCTCATACGCTATGTTTTTGCTCAGAGGTATACAAACCATCTGTGCCTCTAATACAATGTTCTTAAATAGCCTCCAGGCAGATCTCTATGGTTTTTAAGTACTTCTCTTTGCCCTTCAGCCTGCTGTTAACCATTTTCCTTATAGTTTTATAATCTGCCCTTTTAAAGTTCATTGTTTCTGTGTCGTCCCTAAGGGAACAACTCTTTCATGATATCAAAACCAAAAGTGTGCCGTGATCACCGTTACCCCATGGAGGCTTGACACCACCTTCCTCTAATTACTTCTGCCTATTACAAGGTAGCTCCCTCTTGCCCATGGCCTTAACTAATCAGGAGTGCCACGGGAGTTGAGAAAAAGGAATCCTTTGCCATATGGATTGGAGTGGCACCAAAGCCACTTTAAATCTCCTGGTAGGGGAAAAACTGCTTTTGCCAGCTGTTGCTTTACCTCCAACAAAAAATAAGAAAGGATAACAGGGTAAACACTGTAGAACTCAATCCTGTATAATTTTCCTGACTGGCTCCATCCATTTTCCCCAGGAGGAAGTTACTTCCCAGGGGCTGGCTCTGAGATTTTATAGGTTCTCAAAATCTTGAGGAAGTCTACAGGAGGTTGCAGTCACTCACGTAAAACTGTGTGGTGTTTCTCCTCTGGTTTTAATGGCTCCCCTTGTGACTGCTGCCTCTGGCATGCTCTCAAGGAAGTGGGGCAGAAGGGGAAGACTATGACAAGAAAAATCTCTTTGCAGATTAACACCTCGCTCTAGGAACGGGAATAAAGGGATGACACAGTTGATACACCAGCCTCTCTGTTTGCTGAATGCACAAAAGATTGATTTATGGCATCTTGCCACAGGAGAGGGCTATAGGTTATTAACCAACTTCAATGGACAAACACTTGCTGAGGTTGCATATCATACCTCTTGTGCTGTACGAAAGGTAATGACTCATCTTCAGGCATGCTTGACGTCCTTGAGAATGCAATTGGCTCTACAGAGCCAAGTGAAGCATTACTTAGTTAATACACTACAGCGCACGGGAAACAATCCGCTGAAACGATGACACTGCTACTTCCTGCTTCATTATAAATCTGCAGCTTCCTAACAGGATTATATACTGAAGCACTGTAAAAAAGACATTAAGTCCTGTGATGAAACTTTAAAAAATGTGTAATTAAAACAGCTAAATACGGACTTCTTGCATTCAGTGTCTGCAAAGCACAGCCTTTGATCCTCCAAATTACATTTCCTGGAAAAGTGCTGGACACAAAAACTATCAGAATAGAATTCTGACTCATCCCTTCCTGTTTAGGCCAATGAAATGACCATCTGCACTCCAACAAATTCATTTTTATTTTGAGATAAATTAACCTTATCAAACAGGTTAGAAATATAACCAAGGGTAGGAACTCCTGGACCACCTGCCCACACGTACATTTTCTTGCCCATTCTGTTTCATATCTTTGCAATTTCTCTCTCAATAAGGCAGCATTCTTGATGCTTCACCTTGGTTCCTAGCAGTTAAGAGAAAAGTCCTGGTTCTTCAACAGAAAGACAGGTAGTAGAGCATCTCACCTGTCCTGATGACATCCAAGCACCTTTGCAACATAAAAAGCCTCCACTATAAGCATCCATCACTGCAATGATGCTACAGCTCACCAGGTCTGTTCTGGATTACTGCTTAGCTAAGAAGACTAAGAACTAACACCACCATCAATAAATGTTTTTGAGTCTTAATGAACTGGGCAATTTCAAAGATTTTATTAATAAAAACTGTACAAGATTCCCATATTAGGTAACAGGCCACAGCTGCTTTCACCCTGCTCCTCCACAGCTTCTCTCATGCTTGGCTGAGCAAGCTCCACAAGAAAAAAAAAAAAACACATTCCCCACTACAGCAGGGGGAAAGGACTGGGGATGTGGCAGGGAAGAGAGAGTGAAAGAAAAAGGCAGGAAAATTGTCCATACAGACCTAGCCCCATGTTCCATGTGCTCACCTTGGCTTCCCCTTTATTAGAAAGTTCTTGCAATTATTATTTTTCCAAGACCCATTGCTTAGGGCAGGTGATTGCTTAAGACAGTTTCACATTTCTTTCCTAAATGCACAAGTAATTGTTCTCTTTAGTCACAGGTTTCATGGGGAGCTGATGGCGTGTGTAATTTTCCTGGTGTGTCACATTGAGAACACTGAATTTTCACATGACTCCTTGACTATAATGCTTTTGTGCATCACTCACACCTCTTAATAACATATCCAATTAGTTATTGTTAGGTGAACTGGGAGTGAAATACAATGAATACAAAGGTCTCCTGGTCAGAGCACTACAAATCACCATCAGGATAAAGGAAAGAAACTGGGTTTCCGTGTCCACCTTTCTTTCTCCTGCTGTGCTGCCTGAAGACCAACATGCCTTTCATGATATTGCCAAGTAAACCAAATTAATTTACTTGCATTCCAGACATCTGTCATGAAGCTGCAGGACAAGGAGCATGATTAAGCAAAAGTACTGCACCAAAAATGTTGAGGTAACTCTCTTTTTACTAGACTTTGGTCTCACAAGTCTTTCTCTAGAAACAGTAATTTTTGTTTAAACGCAATTACTAACCAGATTCAAACAAGACCTCCATCTTATTTTGAACATGCCAAATCAGCTGCATGTTTGCGAGGCCCTCTCTAATTTTAAGGTAAATCTAAATTCCCTGTGATCCTTGGCAAGCATTTATCTCTTGATAGCCATGTCTCCTAAACTGCCTCATAGCAAAAGTGAAGAGCTTTCAGGCTGTGCAAGAAAAATGTAAGCAAGTGTATTTTTGTGCTGTCAAACAGAACCAGAAAAGTTTAAGCAACCAATGGTTAATTCATTCTTTCTGATGAGTCTCAGCAAGTCTTTACTCAGTTGTTGAAATACGCCCAAGTATTCCTTCAATATACTGTAATGCTACAAGATTTCTCATGGGTGCATATATATATATTTTTAATGGATTCAAACAAGTTTTAAGTACACAAAACAAACAGAAAATAAATCCCTGGGAAACTCTGATTCTGTGTTTCTTCTTCTACATTTGATTTTCTTTTTTATATATGCAGAATACAGACAAATTACGTATTTACAAATGTAGCATATCCTCATGGGAATAATCAGGTTGTCACACTGCACTTCTCTGGCAGCTCTAATATCAGACCAGTGCTACAACAAGACTTAAATATCCATTTATACATCTGGTTTTAATTTTCTGAAAGGACAACAGGTCTATTAATTTTCAAAATTGAGGTAACATGCACTCACACAATCAGTGTGAAATAGTATGCAGACTTGCATCTGATCTTATGCTGCAGGAAGCTGGTACGTATGGAGACAGCAGGAAGAGACTTCATTATCAGGTGACCAAAAAAAAAATCCCATTTTATGCACTGAAATTTTCATTAAAGTATCTTTGGACCACTTAGAGAAAACATAATTTATTGTTTAATACTACATTAACAAACTAAAAGCAGCTGTTTCATACAGCAACTCCAAATTTGCTCCTTAATGAAGCTTTACAGACCAAGTAATTTTGAATGTCCTGTCACATGGCAGAAAAACTGGTTTCACTGCCTTGTACCCTGTAATTCTGCAGCAGTCTCAGGTCTTGCTTAAATATGGTTACAGAACGCAGCGTACTTCCAAATCATTTCAAAGTCACTAGGCCCATTTCTACCACTCTCTTCTCCCCAATTCCATCAGCTCTCAGTGTTATTTTGAATTTCAGCACATCTTGTAACATAAATGGTACAGAAATGGTCACTGTCGGTGTACTGTACATGGGGAACTAAAATAATTTTAAAACTTTTGTGTTACAGCTGTAACATTTCTTGACTTAAATTTCCTGTTTACAATTCTCTACTTGAAGAAAACAAAAATAATGCTTTTCAACAGCTTAAATACCTTTTTTTTTTAAATAAGGTGTTTGAGATCACAAGTAATTATGAACACACATGTAGCCAACTGGAACAAATACACTTTAAAAAAACCCCAACAATCACCAAACCACTGAGCCCATCAGTACAGTATCCAACAGGGGTTTGGGCATCTTTCTTTTGCGTTAGTTGATACCATCAACTACAACGAAAACGTTTACATCTTGCTAGCACAATCAATTCAAATGAATGTGATGCTTCTTAGACTGCATTCACCAAAGACAGGATTAAGAGTATGTAATTTTAGCAACTGTAGGCTCACAAGGGCTCTGCAAGGAGCTCATCTGTCAAGCCACACATGCAAAAGTCAGTGCAAACTTTTGTTAAGCTTTGAGACAGAAAACTTCAGTCTCTGTTCCACAGCAAGGAAGTCTCTCTCCTTGGAACGTCAAGTCAACAATAACAGGTGAAAAACACACAACTGTCAACAAAGGGCAGTAAATAGAGAGGAAATACATTTCTAGTAATGGAGGACATTTTAAAATGTACTGATTGAAAATGTATACAAGCTGGATATGTACAGATATATTTTGCTACTCATTGATGACCTCAAATAGCTTTTACATACATGGTTAAATTCTCTTTTAAAATAAGGACATGACATACTGTTCATGCAGTTCCATCTGAACTGCAGAGACTTAGCACTTGCTAAGTCTTATACGATGTTTCTCTAGCTGGACTATAACAAAGAGAAGACTCAGACACCATGCTTCAGTTTCTAGGAAAACACTCAATGTTACTCAGGTCCCTAGAAGAGGAAGTAAAATCTAAAAAAAAATACAACTCCTAATCATCATTTTCCTCATCATCAAATGAGAGAAGACTGCTATTTTTTATTTGCTTAGCTGTACTCTGAGGACTGGTTGCATCTCTCTTAGTTTTCTTTGCCTCCTTCATCTTCTTACTTGAACTTACATTGAAGTCCAAAACCTTCTCTGAGGAACGTTTGGCTGGTTTCCTGAACATAATTTTTCCATCAGCAGGTTCTGGTTCACCATCTATAACAAAGAGTAAAATCAGAACTCATCTGCACATGTTCACACACCCACACTCACACCCACACCCCCACACCCACCCCTTCACTACTGGCTTTTCTTTTTCTCCAGAACCAAGATCAGCAAGACCTCTGATGCAACACAACTATCATAAAAATGGGAGTTTTTGGCCATGAAGTCCGTATCGATGAATGTCCTTCATGTGCACACATCTGCTCCATGGCAGCCAGCCCCTGAAGAAAGTTCTCCTGCAGTTCCTATCACAGATGGGTTCTCTCTAACCAGAGCTTTAACTTAGAAGAGACTGTGAGCAGTAGAGCTTCTCCCACACAATCCCGACACATGCACTTATGAAAACAGAGAGGACAACTTTATAGGATCCTCTAATTCCACCTCACTATTTGTAAAATAAACCAAAGATTACATGGTCATAAAACTGCCTTTTATTATCATACAGGATGAAAGTTTTAGGGTTTCTTTGTATCTGCACAATCACCAGACTATTCCAACTGACTAATTCTGCTCCTCTGCATGTAACTAGAGCAAATGACAATTTTAAAAACAAAAGTAGTCGCTTCCAGGACTATCAGACAGAGGAGGAAGACTACTGCACAAGTAACAGCAACAAGGCAATAATTTTTGGGGAAAAAAGTGTAATTTTAAAGTCATGAATCAGACACAAAGGGTCATGCTGCAGTAGTTTGCAATTTTTATAATGTATCTGTGAAAGGATGTTAAAGAACCATAGGTTCAGTGCTAGATATTTTTCCTCAAGTACTTTTGTGAAATTCATTATTCAACAGAAATTTCCTAATATGCATGTGTTTGACAAGATTATGTGCTATTTAATTATAACAAATAAGTATCTTTTGTCTTTAGCTCAAATTCTTTCCTCAATTCATAATCATTATGGAAGAGGCTAACATTTCAGTGTTATCATGCATAGCACAAGCTAAAACACTCTTCAGTGCATACTCCAAACAACACAGCCATTAAATCTGGTGTCTTAGGGATTGTGTGGTACCAATTAAGAATATCAGCCTCATTAGGAAACTTCACTTACAATTCTTTAAGTTTCATAGACTCTTTTCAAGAAAAAAAACTATCCTAAAAAACTAAGGACCAATTCTGTCAATGCCTTCTGCATACTTCTGCAGTGGTTTATGAAAGAATACTACTATGCAGAAAATAACGAACCAGGTTTTGGGAAAATATTTTAGTACTGGTGCATTAGAAATGCATTACAGGTACAAGGAATTACCAGCAATAATAAGCTGCAGATACAATAAGCATACTTGTCAATGGATGCGTTGTGAATTCTGCATGGAAAGCTTAGGTGTTTAGATGCTGTACATGGGATACAGGAAGTACCTATGGTAAATTCTGGCAGAGAAAAAAAAAACCTATTTCTGAAAACATCACACCAAATGAATCAAAATGCACTATGTACCATTTTTCTCAGAAGTTGGATTAAAAAATCAAAGTATTTTTCTATATAACTGCCACCATAACAGTTTTTTCCACATACTTAACTGGCACTGAAAATAATTGAATTATCAAATAATTCCCATTAGTAATTGTTGGTTAATGACAATGTTTATTTGGAAACCTGTATTTTCCAATTTAAACAAAATCTGAGGTACATAAGCCAAATTCTGAAAAACAAAACATTTGTAAAAAAAGTGTCACTTCTAAGCAGACTCAACTGTCTATAGCCTTGAGCAGTCAGCACGAAGACTGTATGCAGTACCTATACAGCTGTGGAAATAGGATTTCAAAGCAACCAGCTACTGCATAAGCATGAGGAACATCAAAATATCTCACTGGACACTCTTTTAAAGAGCAACTACTACATTGTCTTAGAACGGCAAATTGAAAAACCAAACCCCTAAAAACCTAACAAAAGCATATCCACAAAATAAATCAGATAAACAACTATGTACTCATACTCCATATAAAAACGGACCTCAAAAATTTCAGTTTTATCCCTAAGTCTCCTTCTACCCACATTGTGAACTGCACAAAATAATTTCATCTTGAATACCAGATGAAGAACTTGATGGACCTCAATACTATTTGCAGATCGTTCTGCATCAAAGGGGAAGATTTTAGTTCTTGTCCTGGTTAAACACTGACAAAATTTCATTATATGCTCAAGGCCATTCCTTAAGCCAGCTTCAGAGAGCTGCGATGTGTTGGCAGCGCTTGATGAAGAACGAAGCAGATGAAGAAACACAGCAGGAAAATGTTAGCCTTACCTAAGCAACCTGTGGAAAGAGGGAGAACACGCAGACTATTTTTTGAAAGAATCTGATGTAGCAGCTCAAGAGATGTGTGTTGGTTTAAGATTGTCTTTCCCAGTTGGTAAAAGCTTCACCTCACCCCTTCTGATTTTACCAGACTCTTATGTGTCCGCTGTCTTTTTTATTGACCTCCAAAAACTAACTTGTATTAAGCAGTGCAAAGAAGACATTGACAGATGTCTCAATCTCAGTGTTGGTAGTTTTTAAAACAAAGCCCTGATAAAAGTCTGTATTTAGTATTACAAACTATGGAAAGCAGGATTTCTGATAAACACACTGAAACACACGAAGTAAAATACAACCAATATAAAAGCATTACAGGAGAAATAATAAAAGCCATTTCCGATAAGAGTCAAAAAACTGTAGTAACAGTTCAAATTCTGACTGTTCTTAGTCATTGCTGCTTTTACCTGGATCACAAACCTTCACACTGGTCGACTAAAAGGGGCACAACCAGATGTTGAGTTGAAAACTCACTTCACAAGTGACATCAATTTAAGAAGCTACAAAGTCAGTATTTTTTTTCTACTCTTTCTTTTATTGCAAGTTATGTGTTACAAGAGAAGTAGAATTTAGGGTCTGAAAAAGAGACACTGCTCTTAAGTTTAGTGTATTTTTTTACTTAGTAGTCATTTGTGTAGTTAGCAGCACCATTTTTCAGCAGTTTCTGTCTGCATGGGTCAATGAGGCAACCACAGGAAACACAACCACTACTACACTGGCAGGAACAACAGGAGAAGCAGCACAAACACTATTTCAAGATATATACCTATTCAATGCTAAAGGTTAGAAAGAAAATTATGATAACCTGGCAAATTTCTTAATGGTTTTTAAGTTTCGAAGTTCATGTCAGCCCTTTCAGATGATGCTTCTAGCACTTTCTGACCACCCATCTCTGTGCATGCCTTGGGAAGCATTTACTATAGGAACTCCTCACACTGCTATCATGAAGGTAAAAAGGCCCGTCTTCCTCAGATACTCACTCTCAGTCGTTCATGAGGACACTTAGGAAAGTTTTTGTTACTTAAATACTGTAAAATTAGGTTTGATTTAGATTCCTGCTGTCCACATGATGAAAAGCAGCATCAACTCTGTAATACGTATCTGATGTGGGCTTAAGCCAAGGAAAGAGTCCCAGTACCCAAGGCAGCATGGACTGTATTCTCCTTGCCTCTCCCCACTCCTGGCCTCCCCAACCCCAGCATATAAAATGAGACAAGCATAATATTAAAACACTTTGAATAAGCAAGGACACGTTCTGCCACATTTGGTCATCTGCATGTATCAGAGTGTCCCAGAGGCCAGATGAACTAGAAAAGCAGTAGAAAAATCAATTCCATAGACTCTAATGAACGCTGGGATAAAGTATCTTGCAGTAATTGCCATCCTTTCTTTTGTGCAAATTTAATTTCTCATAAGACCATTTTTCTTCGTCTCTGAACCAACAGCAGCGATTTATAAAATGCTGCATAACTATACGAAGCAAAATGACTGTTGATAAACAAATTACTTTTTTTTTTTAAAAAAGCCTCTAAGTCAGTCCTCCATGGATAAAAATATTTCAATGTGGAAAACTTCTTTCTCATACAGCAGAGGCTCAGTCCTAAATAAAGAAATTCCCTGTGACTACACTGAATTTTTTTCTGCCTTAGAAGGCAAATAAGCATAGCTAGGACATTAATCAGCTGGTTTTGCCAAATTAATGCAAAAGTATTACTCATGTCTAAAAGAAAATGCAAGTCACAGGAGCTGTTGGTGCCTGAAATAAAAAAAATAAAGTTTACCTGTGTAAAACTGTTTATAGAAGATAATGAAGGAGAAAGGATGTAAAAGAGATATGGAAAATCCTACAATAATATCCCAAACCAAAGCCTGACGCCAAGGACCTTCAAATGAAGACAATCACTACAGATATAGGAGGACAGAACCTTAAAACTGAGTACTTTCCATGTTTTGAAAAACTAAGAGTTTCTATTCACAACATATAGTTACTACTTAGGATCTACCAAAGTGCCTCGGCATTGATGTCAACATGGTGGAAAGGAAGATTGGGAAAGTTGGGAAATTTACTTCCCTGCTACCTTTTCAGTTTCACATAATTTCACTAATGGTCTGATTTGGGGCTGTTTATTATGGTGTAGTACCAGTTAAATTAATTTCACTTTCAACTCTGGGATAAGAATCAAAACAAGAAGAAATGTAATCAAATCATGCAGCATCAAACTTTCTTTATAGTTCCCATTTTCAGAACTGACAATTATCCAGAAAAATAAAATAAACAACCATGCTATTCAAAACTCTCTTTATTAAACTGGAAGTAATCAGCTGTCTAAATACCTGCCTCTGACTAGAAATGAGAATTTAAATGTAGAGGTCAGACTGACAGTGCAAAGATGGATGAAGAGTCAAAGAAGCCTTCGGCAAGCTGTAGCACAGTCACCCACACCTTCATTGAAAACTTCCCACCAGGTCCTCTCCATAGCAGAGGAACCATAGTCCCATAAGGCAAAAAAGGAAAAGAGGGCCAAGATCTCATATTAGCAGCAAAGGCAGATGAATGAATAGTAACACAAGAAGAGAGGGCAGCAGTCCCCAGAGCACAGTGATTCAACACTCTTGCTACCTACTACTGTGGGTTTTTTCCTACAAATGCAAGTTATTACTCAAGGGCTGAAGGGGTAATAAGCAAGATGCTAAAGT